TGCACTAGAAAACTGAAATAAGCTGAAGCAGAACAAAATGTGAAAGGAGTAGTAAAAGTTTGTAAACAGATCTAAAGATCTGAAGGATGTAAAATGAGCTCAATTCACTTTCTTTGAGGAAAACACTGGCAGAAAAGGCTAAATATTTCAAAAAGCTAAAGTTGCGCCAATACCAGAAGTCATAGCAGGATTGTCCTGAACGAGCTGAACGTTTTGATTTGTGATTTATTGAAATAGCACAAATATTGTGCGACGAGAATGGCGTCAAAAAACATACAGAAGAAAAATGGATCACAATAGTGTGAATGCTTCACAAACACTTACACTATAATATATAAAAATAGTGAACTGGTTGTGTTCTATCATGATGTTATGTTTCAGTGTGGAGTAGAATCCAAGACATAAACAAAACCCAAAGGCTCGAGGCAATAGATGAACAAACGACATGTTGAACTGATCAATATCCACGTTTAAATCTATTTTTGCCATTTCGCTTTCACTTACCATAAATGTTGCTCAGTCAGAAGTAGTGAAACTCCATCTCTGTGCTCCCCCTTGTGTCATAGTGTTCCTAAATCCAGTTGGGTTATTATGGGATAGAGGTCACTGCCTGTTCTTGTGTCTTTAAGAACTGATTCCTGCCAGAGTCTGAAACTAACGTGTGATCTATTGCTGATTCTGTACCCGTTCTTATATTAATTCTTCTACTGCTTCCATAATTTAAACAAACCAGATGTTTATTATTCATAATCTCTTCCATTATTAGATCATTATAATTATTCCATAATGTGTCCATTAAAATCACCCCACCAAAATCATTTTCCCAATATAAATGGGAAATAAGGTTATCAGCGTTTCTCTAGACAGTCTTTTGTAATAATTCAGTTTTGACATTTTCATTTCTTGTCCATGTTTCGATTATTATAAACTCTAAATCTGATTATTTTGCTAACAATCCGTGTTGAATTCCTTCTTTAATCAAAATAATAAAGCCCTCTCTCCTTTACCTTGCGTCTTATACTGGAATATTATTTAATGACAAAAATCTAGATTAGATTTAAGCATGTTTCCTGAATGCAGATTATGTCTGGGTTGTGCTGTTTTTAATGGATCCTGTAAATTCCTGTCCATTTGCTGTTAAATTGCTGCCGTTCCAACTGTAAGTTGATCATACAGGAAGGGGTGGCGCAAAGATTCGAAAAGGCGAGCCTGTGGTCAACTCCCTGGACTGACAACATCAAAATGCGGGTGGGAAAGGTGAAGCGTCCACACCTGCCTCCACCCTCATTTTCCCCACTCTGGGCCCTTGAGCAAGACCCTTAACCCCCACCATCTGCTCCCCTGGGCACCCTAGATGGCAGCTCTCTGCCCCACACAGAGGGCTGTGGTAGTGTCAGGAAGGGCATCCGGCGTAAAAACAATCGATCAAGTTAGTTCTCTGTGGCAACACAAGAAATTCAAAAGACAGGAAAACGCAACGGGAATAAAACTAAAAGAACACATGGAATAAAACATACAACATACTATGACAGAAGGGTGTTTTCTGTACTCACTTTTGTAGTCTTATTTCAGGGTTTTGGTGTTCACACCAGTCTGTTTTCCCCTGGTTCCTGCTCCTGTGTCTGTCCTCGGTTAATTATTACTCTCAGGTGTTTTCTGTTGAGTTAATTTGTCTCCAGCCCTCAAAGAGCCTTTCAGTTCTCTGTGGTTTCTGTTCGTCTGTGTCCCCTTGTGGGATCACGTTTGTCTCCAGTTACCCTCCACTCTGTGATTCTGAAAGATCTCTTGAATAAAGACGCTGTAAGTTTTGCTCTGGATCCGTACCACGAGTCCCATCTTCCACCTGAGACTCCACGTGATTAGACCTGTCACGATAACAAATTTTGCTGGGCGATTAATTGTCTCAGAAATTATTGCGATAAACAATAATATTGTTTGAAAATTGACATTAGTAATTATGTCAAATTTAAGAAGAAAAGTAGGTTAATTTTTGTGCAGTACTTTTTTTGAGCACTTGATGGCAGTATAAGGGCGCTTGAACCAAAGGATTCATGATAGTGAGGAAGCGAGCAGCGTGTCTCTTCAAGAAAAATGGGAGGGAGGACACTTGACGTGACACGGGCTGTCTCTTGTTCTTGTTTTTCAGTTTTCAAAATGGCGGACGCTCGGTATGTTTTGAGCTCTTTATCATAGCATTTGTCACACAAAGCTTTTAATAAAAACAAGTTCTCTCTAATTTTGCAGAGAAAAGCAACTTTTTCGACGAAGGCACAGGTTTCAACCGTGACTTTAGGAGCTTTGACAAGACGGAGTTTTTTTCCCCAATGTCGGCCTGTTAGCTTAGCTGCTTTTAACGATCCAAAAACACGATTTTGGATGGTTAAAACTGATTTTAAAGAGAAAGGGAGGAGTCCGTGAGGAGCACTAGAGTTGAGCCTTTTGTCATCCAGTGTCTTCAGTAGAAAGAGAGACACGAAGAACCGATAAAGCCGATAAATGAAAATGAGGTTGATAATTTTTATTTATCATGCGATTAATTGATTTATTGTTTATCGAGACAGGCCTACACGTGATCTGTGCAAAATCCATTAAAAACTAAAGCTAAATTATCAGCAGAGCTAAGAAAAATACTGCAAATTTACATGAATTTCTAAACTTTAAAGCAAATTTTCACACATTTCAGTCACCCTCAATGTAAAGTTCAATTATTGTTTTATTAATACTTTCTAATCAGTAACACTGTTACTCCTCTAAGCCAAAATGCTTACAAACTGTAAATCCTCAGGTGGCGCTCAGTAGAAATGCTTCCTGTCTGAGTCATGTTCCATGCAAAGAAGCAGTCACAAATCCAATACAAGAGCAAACATTTAAATGACAGAAAGGAAAACAGTTAAAAAATACAACATCCAGACTAATGATCTTTGCTGAGGTTACAAGTAAAAATGTTTAACAGCAGGAAAAGAGCTCTTAAAAAAACAGAAATTAAAAATATGCGTCATTTCTTCAAATGTCCAAAGTTTATATGACCTCTGTGGCAAAAATGAAATTTCATCCAAATAAAAACTGCCTGACTGATTGTTCCTACAATGTGTAGAGCTCAAGTATGTGATGACGCTCTGTTAAAGGCAAAAAAACTGCCTATTTAAATGGCGGGAAATGTTGTATAAGCTAGTGGTGCATAGGCATCGCAACAATTATATGTAAAGGGTCGTGTCCCCCAAACATTAAAAAAATATGTTTGGACCCCCCCACCACCATATTTACCATGAAATATTAGTTCATCCAGTGATGTTTCTATTTCTTTGTGAACTAATCCATTCCACTTGATTAATAGGAGAATACTAAAGTCCACTCCGTGTTTGCCTGGTTACCTTCAATAACTCATCGCAACGCAAGAAGTTTCCCCGAGGTCACTTGACGGGGCAAGGGGATGACGGGGAGACACCTTTGTGCTGCGCGCTAGCTTAGCGTCACGTTAGTGCGGGAAGTTGTCGATAGGGTGTGTGGGGGCGAGGCATTATGTCATGCTCTCTAAAATAGTTATTGAATCAAGCGTTTACTTATGTAGGTAAACATAGATGTTTAACAACCCATTAAAATACGCCAGAATGAAGGAAATGGCATCTACTTTATTAAAAAAATTCTGGGGGAGGACGCCCCCCCCCCCGCTACAAACACTTCTGATGCCAATGTAGTGATATACTTGAGTGTTTACATGAAAGCTCCACTAACATAGCTGGACTTACATGTTGTTTTCCACTGATCTCATCATCAGACAAATTTTTCGTTGACTATAATAACTGCACTGAGTAGAGTTAGCATTAGCCTAACGGTTTGGAGTATTTTATTCACCAACACTTTGATCCTAATGTTCAAATTTGTAAGCATACTTCTGGCTTCTATTGATTAAATAAATATTTTTCAAACATGTTTCTTTTATTTTACAAAAGTGCCTGTGAAAGGCAGTTAAAAAAAAACAAAAAAAACTGCACATTAAAATGGCGGGAAACGTTGTGTATGTATAAACAAATTGTGTATACTTTAGATTTAACATTAAACTGGACTATGATCTTCCACTTAAATATATTTTTGTTAATACTAGCTTACTTTAGTTTTTCATGAATCTTATCACCAGAAAAATATTTATCGGTACTTTCACCATCACGACTGCGCCGAGAAGAGTTAGCATTAGCCTCAAGGTTTTGGGCAATAAAGTGACTAACACATGATTTCACTTTTTAAACTTATAAACAAACTACTGGTGTCATTTAAATATTTTTCAGTTTTCTTTTATTTTACAAAAGTGCCTGTAAAAGGAGGTTAAGGCTAAAAGAACTGCCCTTGAAAAATGGCGGGAAAAAGTTTCTGTATAAAAAATGTGAATGAGCCTCAAAGAAACTTTTGAAAATGTCATAGCATACACAGTCATGTTATTACTTCAGTGCTTGAGGTCTTTGATGTCCTGAGAGCGGAGAGAGAAAATACCTGGTGACTAACAACAATACAAAGAAAGGTAGAGAAGACACTTAAATACAAGGATGGTAAAACAGGAAAAAGAGAAAAGAGGTAGAAAAAGCACAATGTAAAAAGAGAAAAGCTGGATGAAAATAGTCAGAATCTCATGTACTGATGAGAAAAACCTGGAGATTCAACAAACCACTTTAAAATTCTGTGGTTTAATATTTATCGATTTGGTAAAAATTAGGGATGCACGATATTGGATTTTTGACCGATATCCGATATGCCGATATGTTAAAACTTATTTGGCTGATAACCGATACCAATACCAATATTTTTTTCTCTAGACCTACTTACTGAGATTATATAGCTTTCTCTGCTGTGGAATTAAAATACTACATTATTCTGCATGGTCTTTGTCAATTTGGCCTGCTACCAAATACAGATGACAAAAAGGCATCTGCGCTGTTTATATTGGTGAGTTATTTTGATGGTACGGCTGATGTCCGATAATCGCTAATATCGGCCGATACCTATACCATGCTGACAATACTGTGCATCCCTAGTAAAAACAAATCTTTAAATAAAAATCAATCTTTAAATAAAAATCAATCTTTTGAGTTTCAGCAACTTCCTCCGTCATTCGAGGAATTAAAAACAGTTTCCATGTGGAACAAAACGTTCAAATGGCAAAATCTCCAGAACCAGCGGGGCAGAAAGCAGCGCTGCGGAGCGTGTCGAGGCAGTTCACGAGAACGAGTGCGCCTGTCAGGTGTTTCCACCTCTTAGTGATGGGGTTCCTCATTTTGTCCAGGCCGAGGTGGAGCTCCTGGATCACGTCTCGGTAGCTGTCCCCAACATGGGCGGCCCACGTCAGCAGAAAATCGTAGGCTGGTTTCCACATGGACTGACGGGTCAGAGAACAGAAAGAAGTCATTATTTTAGAGAGAAAACGCCAGAAACTGGAGAACTACTTCTTTAATGGAGAAGGCTGTTCCATGATATCCTATCTACTATCTCGCTGATCTGCCGCAGCCATATGTTCCACAGCGCTCTCTGAGGTCAGCAAACCAGATGCTTTTATTGGTTCCAGGCACTCGTTTTAAGCTCAGAGATGAGAGTTCTTTCTCTGTTGCAGGTCCAAAACTGTGGAATGAGTTACCACTGCATGTCAGGCAGACTCCCTCTCTCATTGTTTTAAGTCTCATTTGAAAACTCACTTTAATTTCCTGGCTTCTGACACTGAGTGATTTGTTTTTAGCTTGTCTGTATTCTACATTAGCCATTTAGTTCTTATCTTTACATCTGTGCGATCTATGTACTTTTTGTCAGAAAAAGGGTTGTAAGCACAATCATCCAGGTAGATAACAACAAAGGTTAAATCATGTCATCTGGACCAGTTTCTTTAAGTGAGAAATGTTTCGTCCCCCATCCAGACGACTTCCTTAGTCTATGTTTTGCCAACCAGTTCTGTCCCACAGGTAGCCTTCACTGCTGTGTTTCAAACAAACCTTTTGAGATTCCAACAGGAGGTTGGCTTCAAACACAGCAGTTATGGCTACCTATGGGACAGATCTGGTTGGCAAAACATAGACTGAGGAAGTCCTCTGGATGGGGGACGAAACATTCCTCACTTAAAGAAACTGGTCCAGAAGACACAATTTAACCTTTTTTGTTGTTTTTGCTGTACAACACTTTGGTCTGCCTTGTGGCTGTTTTTAAGTGCTTTGTAAATAAAGTGGTATGGTATGGTATGGTATGGTATGGTATGGTATGGTATGGTATGGTATGGTATGGTATAGTATGGTATGGTACGATATGGTATGGTATGGTATTGTATGATATGGTATAGTATGGTATGGTATGATATGGTATGGTATGGTATGGTATGATATGGTATGGTATGGTATGGTATGGTATCCTAATTTACTGTTTTGATGGGGAAAAATGTTAAACCAAGACATATTAAGTGTATTTGTCCACCTTCTTTGCTTTTAACATCCAAAAGCAGCAATTTCCATGGATATTTTTACAAAAACTTTTTATTATTATAGAAATGGTACAGTTACGTCTGATCTTAATCACAAATTAAATACCATAATCATTTTGTTATTTAAACTGAACTTCTAAGCTGAAAGGTGTGCCAGTAAAGTTGAATAAAGCAAGGTAGAAAAAGAACTGTATTTTAATGCAATAACAACACTAACCCTAACCCACCAGGTAACATGGAGACGATAATTATTGTTAGTTCACCTCGTTGTCCAGGACGCCGTTCTTGTCGCGATGCGGTGCCTCGTAAGCCTCCATCTGCTGCCTGGACACTCGGGCCAGTTTCTCAGCCAGCTCCCTCCACCTCGACGCCACCTCCACAGCCGTGGTCAGCAGAACAAAGTCCAGCACTAAATTAGCAACGAGACCCTGGCAGTCCATTTTCAGCAGAGCCTAAAGAGATAATCAGTAAACAAAAAGAGATTTAAATTATGCAAAGCTTGTGGGATTTTTACGATATTATTAGAAAGTCTGCAGCAAAATTGACAAAATGATTCAAAGGGATCTCCGTTTTGGACAACAGGGGTTTTTCACAATCACTGATGGAAAAACCAAGGCACTCTGGGATTTCAGATGAGGTTTTCCTGGAAAAAGAATGCCTGGATTAGCTTGCAAAGTGTGCAGTTACCCCAATCTGAAAACAGATAAGCTTTAAAACATGAACAGATGAATGGTCAGAGGCCCTTCATTGTCCTGGAGGGAAATTTAAGACTCAATATGTAATAGATCCTCAAACAGGGCATCACAGACATCGACAGAAGCATAATCCTCAAATAAAATGAGCAGCACTTTATGTTTTATGTGTTGCTCACGTATATTGACTCTTTTATTGATTGAATATCTGTAATTGAACTTCCTTCCTTCCTTCCTTCCTTCCTTCCTTCCTTCCTTCCTTCCTT